GAAAAACAGCGGATAACTTTGTATACTAATAGCTGAACGTGGGGGAAAAGTATGCTTATCACAACAGATATGCTATGCAGCTCCACAAAATAGTGGATTCTCAGTAATCTCATTCCATGCTCTGGCATTGAGGTGCAACCTACTGTTTGAGCAGTTCAAAATTCTCTGTAGGGCCTATCGTGTTGGGCGAACGTCGAGGTACTATTCGACAATTCGTGCTCACTCCGCATGTGCCAACCAACTTCACGATAAACAGCCATCTTCCGTGTAAGCAGGGATAGTTGGTATTGAAATAGGACATGCAAATATAGGTCAATCTTCTCTGCATCAGCACAAATCACATGACCAGAATAGTGTACAAAATGACGTTGGTTACAACGCTGACAACAGTAGGCACGTGTTCTGTTATCTACGTGAATTTTACTGACCAGCTCCTGATTAAGTTTCCCGAAGATGACTGAAAATTCGGGCGATAAAGTCACGCTCAAAAACATTGTGCTCTTTCCCCAGACTGCATTTGAGTACCTAGATCGCTACTGCGCCGAGATTTTATTTGGAAAGCATGGCGGGCATGGGTGAATGAATTCTAGCCATTCTCTGCATTGCAGTCACCACAAAACTCTCCGGAGCACAACCAAAGCTAATGGATTGTTTATCAGCAGATAGAGGAACAGAATTTTTTGTCATAAAAGGTCGCAGCGTCTATTCAGAGGGACAGTGCTTGAGCCGTCCGAAATAAAGAGGAAGTATACGACCACTTTTGAAAGCCGATATAAGACTGTGTTCGTAAGCTAACTTTATCTCTCGAGGTAAAGTTCCAAGATTGAACAAGGTCATGGAATATGCACTTTCGGGGCGCGGAAGTTTTCTCATCTCAATTCCAAAATAAAAAGAAACCACCAGAACCATGGAGGATAGGGGATAAGAAGCGATATTCTAAAATTAACCGATTTCCTTGACCCAGTCTGTTAGTGAACTACAAATTTGGCCTGATCCAAGCAATAATCTATTTACGTATTCGTACACGGCCGTTCTTTAAGAAATCTAACAATTGAAATACCAGATGAGGATACTACGAATCAGGGATATGATGGATTAGCGCGTGACAACTTGCTACATCTCGAAATTACCTTTATTGCTATTCCCCAAACATGCATCTTCCAGAAAAAATGATACTTTCGGTGGTTCTTTTTCAAAATATACTGGATGAGAACACTGCTGTTTTCTAATAAACTGGATGAACAGGACTGAAGACCACCATAAGGACTCCTGAGATGGATCGAAGAAATGCAATGTAACAGATATGTGAAGCTTTCGTTGCAGTTGAAATTGGGGTACTCGTCCTATTTCTACAACGACTGCTGACACTTGATGGCTCTTGTGTTAGATCCCTGGTGACCCATTTGACAAAACTTATTGGTGTAATGTGGGACGAAGAGAAAGTGCCTGCAGAATGGAGCATGTCGAGTTATCCCTATCTTCAAAAAGAGTACGCTGACGCTATGTGAAAACCACCGTGCCATCAGCCGGTTAGCTGTAGCATCGAAGGTACTCTCTGGTGCTCTCTCTCCTTCGAAGGTTGACTGAATACACAAAAATACAGATCCGCGAAGACCAAGCTGGGTTCCGTCCTGCAAAAGTTTGCACCGACCATATCTTCACCCTCCGACAGACTCTGGAACAGCGACAATGCTTCCAGCAACCAACAATGGTTGTTTCTTGGTCTGAAAGCTGCCTTTGACTCTGTGGACCGCCAAGCACTATTGCAGTGTCTGTGGAGCAAAGGTGTCCTCCATGAATTCTTGACCCTCATCAAGGCGCCGTACGCCAACTCCTACGGCCATGTAAAGGTCTACGGGAAGCTTTCTCCTGAGTTCACCACATCAAGTAGTGTCCGACAGGGCTACCCTCTTTCACATTTCCTCTTCAACTTCGTCAGTGATGACAGTACATCCAACCACAACAAAGTAGTCACTTGTATTATATCATTTGCAAAACCCTGCATACTTTTGTCATTCTTAGTACGCGTGAAAGCTACTCGGGTACGGTACATTCTTTTACAACAACGTGTGTACTATATCTGGTAAATGTGTCCAATCAGCTACAGATCCACTGAGCTTCAGAAGGCACAGATCGATACCCATATGGGGAACACAAAATGTTGACTTCGCTATATCGCAGCGACACTCCGCACTGCTTCATCTTTCTACACCCACATTTTGTTTTGTCCCAGGTTTAGATAAGATGCAGACTGATGAGCGGCGTCATGCCCGCCCTCTATAGGATCATAAAAATATTTACACTCAGCAGTGGCGCGAGGCTCTGTACACTGTGGATGAATTATGGAGCATTTAGAGCTAACTGGCGAAGATTCCATGTTTGGTTTGAGACGGAATGCTTTACCCATCTCCGTAAATTTCAACCGATGAGAACGCTAAAATAATTATATGTCGCCGTATGCGCAATGTACTGTAACATTAGCAGCGGGCTCTTAATTGACTTGCTCCTACTGACAATTCCACATCATACGAGTGAGACAGACATTTGGGATTGAAACTAATGTGGCATCATCATGGCGTTGATACAGAGGCACTCAGAGCCACAATCTTCCAAGTGTGATTGTACTCTCAGTTCGGACTCAGTTCTGACTCTCAGTTCTTACTGATTGGTTCCCCGTCTGCCTTATAACTAACCTAATTTGGTGACCTTCTCACTTGGCCTGATGAAGCTTTTGTGTCAAAAGCGAAACACTACCCAAATAAAAACTACTGATTGTTTATCAAGCTCTTCTGAAACGAACTCTCATTTCCTTTCTAGTGGTGAACAAATTTGCCATATCCACGTGAGAACATTAGTACTCATCACGACCACCGAAAAATGCCACGATCCAGTCGAATGGCTAGCGCGATTTTTCTTTTAAACGGTGATCTTCCCTGATGGGTTTATGGCCAATGGCAAACTTCTCTCTATGTCAAACGAAATAATGATACCTATATAAATTTCTTACATCTACCCTTGTCGTAGTGTTTCATTCACAGACCGTAAACAGGTTTGAAACCAAGTATGGAGGTGGTGTAGAAAACATATGATCGGGAAAAATTACGACTTCATAAAGTAAGTCCTTTGATTTTAATCCAGGCTGAAGACACTACAAGATCATTCAGTTATTTCTCTTCTGGAGTCAGATTGTTCTTACTCCCGCGGTTTGTGCACGATAATAATCAACGTTCGAGCGGATCGATATTCCACAGCTGATACCGAACTAGCCAACTCATGTTAAAAAATAGAAATCATGAATAAATTTCTTACCCCGTTCCGTAATCATCCCACACATCTGCTGTATGAAATCGTTTGTATCTCGGACCCATATGCGCTGGATATAGATAGTGTGCTGGGGGACTGGGGAATAGAAGAACAGAAAAACTTAGGATTTAGTATGGGGATAAACAAGTTCCGAAATTCGCCGTTCCCATCTCACACGAATGTCAGAAACAATTAAGGTTAATAACAAACATGGATAATTTCCTATCCTGCAAATTGGAAATGTGTGTTTCGTTCTTTTGGGAACATGTGAACTGTAGGCTTCGATTCATTCACAGTCATTATAATGTCCGAATATTACAAATTTACAAATCACTACAAAATTATACACTGCTGCACCAGATTGGGAGCGTTTTAAAAAGGCCAACCACTAATGGTACCATTCGGGAAACAACCAGCTGCCTAGGCACTGCCCGTATTCGGCGATGGTTTGAGTGAATGTAAATTATTTAAAACAGTTATATATTTCATCGCTACTTTTCCGCTTGACTTATCAGTTACTTCACAGACCCACCCTTAGTTTTCGAAATGGAAGCAGCAAACTACTAACGTTTACAGTCAGTAGTCCTAGTAGCCCAACCAGGCATTCAGATAAATAAAGTTCCAATACCAGTCACTGACCAAAAACTATATTGCATATATATATATATACTGCATATATCTGGATAAACGCCGATCAATATAAAAGGTTTTGCTCCCGGTGAAAAGAAGATCGCCTCCCAGTTCGAAGTAGCAGCCAACACGAGCTAAGCGGTTAAGAGCTACAAGACACAAGAGTAGAGACTTTGTACAGGGTTCTGGAAAGGTCCAATAATTTCCATTTCAACCGTCCAACAGGAACAGCACGTCAAAACACGTTTCGTTAGTAGTATACACTGTCAAAGTGGTAACTAAACGTATTTTGCCGCCGATAAGAACCGAGGAAACCTGGCCAGTGCGAAACGGTTTAACTTGATGCTGCGTTCGCCGACATGGGCAGTTCATGTTAGAACATATATGTGTGAATCATTTGTGGACCGTAAAAATCATTCATAGGCTTGGATCAAAATTTCTTCCCATTCAGGATGCCACTATGCGAGGAGCTGAAAGTGACAGAAAGACATCCCGACAAAACTATGGCCGCCTTAGCCAGTGGAACGGCTCGTGGAATTATCAGACTTGGGCAACTTCTACGCTTGTCTACAACAGACCTCGGCCACCTACTATAAACCGGGAACAACCGTCTGATACTTCACCGAAAACGAACAATATCTACTCGTGGTTGTGGACGCTGGCGAATCTAGCTCGTATTGTGTCTAATACTTCCAGAACAGTCTATACGTTTTTGTTAGTTTATTAGACGTGTCTCTTAGGAAGTGGAGTCTACACCAGCAAAGCCACTGGTGGGCAAGCATTTTTACTCTGGAATAATATTCTACTGTTTGGGGCTTAACTGTACTGTGACTGTGAAAGCTAATGCGCATATTAGTACCTTGAGTAATACCCGTGCGTAATGAGGAGAAAATATAATATCGCGTTTGGACTTGAAATGTCACCAGTATACTGAATGTGAACCTAATAGAAGTTCCACTTCGTGACGTTTACTAAATATCCCAAAACTTTTCTAATTTCTTTCACGGAGATTGTCCTTGTTTCTCATTTTGGTGTTCGCGAGTAGAAAACACCGATTTTCCACTTACGGCGCCAAAACCTGCTCCTCTAAGCAGGATAACAGCACAAAAGCGCAGAAAACGTAGAGAATTTGGCTCATGTTTGATCTGAAATCAAAAGAGAAAAGATGAAATTCGATTAATTTTCGCTCGTGATATATTAGTGAAAAAGTAGCGTCCACTAAACATCTGCGTAGCATCCACTAAACATCTAATCGGCGTTAGAAAGCACATCATACAGCAAACAGTACCTTCCAAATGAAACTGAACAGTACCTGTTCACTTCTTTCCGTATAATTTGGCTGCCGCGGGGCTATCTCGAACTTCGCGAGAAATCGTTCAACATGTCCTGATGATGTTTTAACAAAATCCAGGTGAAAAAATCAGGCATCAGGCTCTATGCTATCCCAGCATCCAATAGGTACCCGAATGATCAGACTGAGACAGCTTTTTCCTGGGTGTAAGTAGCCGATGAGCCACCGTAAATGGAATTTATCCTGGCGCGTGCGCAACAATCCGTACGATCATTCAGAAGCTAACAACATCTGACACTGAGGTGAAAAGTGCTAGAAGTGGGAAGAAAGCTTATGAGGGTCACCTAGTTGCCCGGTTAGGAGAATTATCTTAATTTTGAAGGTTAGTATCTACCATTGAATGTATTGTGGATAGGCATTCCACTTCTGCCTGCAAAATAAAGAACATTTTTGGAACGTTATAAGATGAACCCTAGCAATTCGAATTGCGTCCCGCGGTGAATATCGCACTGAAGGCTGCATATCAGTATCAACGTTAGCCGCACAGGTAACAAAGTGTATAGGCCAAAAGAACATTCGCGGAGACGGTGTGCTTCGTTTGTCCTTCTTGACAAAGACTCTCCAGATGTTAACATTTTCGGATGCTCTTGCTTTCAAGGATTGTTATTACTCCACAAAAGCCAACGTTTTCTGTTCCTTCCGTAACCAGAGGAGGACGGTTAAGTAGGGTGAAGAGCTCCCAGTCAGCAGAAAACATGTTTTCACCTTTAGAAGATAGTGACCAGATTTCATGCACCAGCAATTTTGCAGCCGTCCAGCCGTGCAGAAATCCGTCAACTTCCATCACCCTCTGATGTGTTAATTACAAGTCTTCTAAATTGATATATACCTTTTGGTTGGAAATATTTGGGAATTTATAGTGTGAGTTCGTATCTATCAACCAAAATATTGGAATCCGTCCCTGTCGGAGTCAAGCTGACGGGGTTAAAAAAGCTTTTCGATCAGGTCTTAGGAGGTGAGCTGAGTGACTTCTGTTTTAAGATTATTTTTTCGACGTCAACTGCCCGAACTAACATGCCGTCGTCTCTTTTCGAAGGATGCTACAATTGTCACTGACCTACAGGCAAACAATTCAGAGGAAAAAGTGGTTTCGATTGGTGACGGTAAGGACCCGCTTTTTTATATCCATAATAATCAAGATTACGTTTTAAACGTTGCAAGCGTGCAGATAAACACATCGACCAGTTACACTGATGTTTCACCTCCATCTGTATGTCATCGTGATCAGACGCTGCTGACACAATGTTACTGGAGCACGGTAAAATTTTTGGCTGTGTAAGGCATCGGCGCAAAAATGTACTGAGCGAAGCAGAGGTTTGCAAAATGGACTCGGTGCAAGCCGCAATTCAAGTTTCAGAATAGTTCGTTCTAGTAGTGCTCGTTGAGGACTGGTGAATCGACGCTTGAAGTATATTGAGATTCCGTGCTTCTCATGCAGTGTAAAAGTTTAACCCCGAACACGGACAACGGGGAACAAGCTTTCGTTCCATCCACTTTGTGTGTTGCTTCACCTTCCGTTGCGTGACATCTACATCGGTACCGCAGTCTGTCGAGACAAATTTCACCACATCCTAACGGATAGGTTTCTGTTCAGTTGGATAAGAAAATCAATATCAATTTGGCAAAATGCAAGGTCCTATCCAGCAGAAGAGCACTTCGATCTCAGTCTTACAGGATTAGGAAACTGTTCCGCATTTCTCTGGAGAATATTCGTGGGGTTTCGTAACTTACGTCGATTGGGATGGTCAAGATAAATTTTCCTTCATCCCGCCATCCCAAATGTGTCCCATCACGGTTGCGATTCTGGTCAGGAAGGGTCATCTAGATAAACTCATAGCACTGCGCTAGCCGGTAGAGTATCCAGAGTAACTGAATTATCGAGAATATTGGCTTGTCTTCACTGACAATGCATGAACGCTGATATCCTAATTGATGCGCGCAAACTTGTGTCGGTGGCATTTGAACTTCCCCACCGAGTGTCATCCAATCAGAAAGCGACGCGTAGGAGCAGTCTTACTGACGCGTTGACACCCTGAATCATTAGGCCAATGAAAGGACAGAGTGGGGGACAGATCCAAAGCCGAGCACAGATACGCTTTAGTTGTGGGTGTCTGTGGGATCTGCACAATGCACGCTCACATCATTCGTTTGAACAATCGTCCTCCTGCCCTGAACATGTCCCGACAATGCTATACAAATCAGTACGCACTGATTGTGGCGAAAAAAGGCTGCGCGCGCTTATGTCGTAGAAGCGCTGACAAACAGGGTTCAGAAACAAGCACACACCCGGCCTCACCTGACGCACCAATCGCTTGTGTCGCAACCTGTCACGCGCATGAGCACCTTTCTTTTGCACAAAATATCTAGGCCCATAACACACGCTCCCTTCACTAACAGGTGTCCTTACATACTGGCCGATAGAAATTCCTGCGACTAATGCGAATCAACATCGCTCGCACCCATTGAATCATAGGGATCATCTCGAAAGCTTACCAACTGAGCAACAAACGTCGGATTGCATTACATTGGAATGCCCCACCGTGTTTTGACTATGGGCTTTCCACTCTCGTACTAACATGGATGGAAACCTTCTAACAACACAGTATCAGCTTTGTCATTTTAGCTCTCATCAAGTTAGCCTGGAAGACTAGTTTTCTTCGATCGTGCTTCGCAGTTGGGCACTCAACTGGATGTGTGCTTCATAAACATTTACTTGTAACTTACGATAACGATCTCGGAAGACCCAACTGATACTCAGCTGGGTCTTTCGTTCAAGGTATTCTCCAACTGAATGTGCTGCACCGAGGCAGCCTCATGATCCAGTAGCAAGGGTGTTTGAGGAACTGAAGAATTCTCCTCGTTATGACACTATTAAATCGGATGCTGGAAATTCCGTGTACACGCATACACATCAACTACAGGGCGTATTAGATAGTACTCTATCCTGAATGTAGTTTCTCCTATTCATTTGTTTGGAACAGCCTACTTACGGTGTTTAGACGTCATTGTTTTCTGTCGACTTGTGAGATTCACACCAACAGCCAATAAGTATTTTCCCCATCGTGCGCTTATGCAGTGGTGTGCTTCAAATTTGTCTAGTTCTTAGTGACGGCAAACTTTTTAATGGGCACGAGAATGTTATACGCAACAGGTATTCGTGAAATTTCAACAGTTATTGAACAGTCATCAGTCTATTGCATCGGACAAATCCTTCCAGTCATAATCCAATCCATACTCTGCTATCCTTTTCTGTCAAATGTGAGTCAGTTTTGTCAGGTGAGCGCGGAGTTAGTGATTGTATGCTTATCTGTCTGTGGATTTCCGAGGAAAAGTCTAGGTGCAACCAGGGTCAAATCCTTATCTACCCTTCATAATGACCTGAAGTTTGGCAAAGACATCAACGGGTTTTGATGAACATGTTTTCTCACTTATCGAAACCCGTCAACTGACCCTTGGGTGAATGAATTCGACGTTGATTCACATCACGCGAACCTGGAGTCATATATCACACAGGAACACCACATAGCAGGATGCCCCAAATGAGTGACTGAATTTCTAGTGGACGAATAGATGAGCGATGTAACAGTGCCGACAGCCCAAGATACATTTGAATCAACTTCTCTCATTCCCACACCCTTGCCATCTTCCTACTAACACTTTCTGTTTGTTCAATGTAAAATGTGGTACGGCAGCGTTTCTGAGACCTTCATTTATTGATGGGAATCCCGGTATGAGTAGATGGACATGTGCGGTATTAGGGCATGAAATTTAGAGCATGGTTATCACGTGTTTGCGTTTTCAATCGGGCAGACTAAATTTATTCTTTGTATACTCTGATTACGAAAACTGCTGAGTTTTCTACGAGACCTGACCAGTCATTTCTTGGAATTTCATGGTGCAAACGATGAACAGAGGTAGAAAATAGATGAAAATAGAGATGAGTTCTTCGGGATGCTTGCACGAAGTATAGCGTCTTGTCGTGAGACTGCATGCGCAATACCCCGTCTCCTACAACAATGAGCAGGTTTCGTAGAAGTCTCTACGGTGTTTACCTACTTGCATATTGCTGTGAGTCCATCTAGTGTCCCTTATCTTGCGATCTGAACACCTTCGTAGCTACATCGTTTGCATGAATTATGCACACACCCGCAGTGCAATGTAGGCTGCGATCTAAATGTATCTAGCATAGTTAGGTGATGTACAACCTCCCATTCCAACCCAGGATTACGTTCGTCAGATGCATTTACTTCTTTGGACGTCCATTCCGGAACCCTGGATGACAAATTTCCTGTGATTTCCACAATACAAGAAGCGGTTGTCCTCTTACTTCTTTCTTAACAATTCGCTTTCTGTAAACCGGATATGATCATAATTCACGAATAGGGGTGTGTTAAAGGGAGATGAAATTTCGTTTCAGAAGAGCTTGGTAAATAATCGGTATCTTTTATTTGGGCAGTGTTTCGCTTTTGACACAAAAGCTTCATCAGGCTAAGTGAACAGGCCACCAAATTGTCCAGGTTATCAGAGTGACAGGGAACTAATCAGTAAGTCCTNATGCGCAATACCCCGTCTCCTACAACAATGAGCAGGTTTCGTAGAAGTCTCTACGGTGTTTACCTACTTGCATATTGCTGTGAGTCCATCTAGTGTCCCTTATCTTGCGATCTGAACACCTTCGTAGCTACATCGTTTGCATGAATTATGCACACACCCGCAGTGCAATGTAGGCTGCGATCTAAATTTATCTAGCATAGTTAGGTGATGTACAACCTCCCATTCCAACCCAGGATTACG